TCCAACCTAGCGATGGCGATGGCCTTGTGCTCCAACCTACTAGCGATATATGCTCCTCTGCTTACCAACTATCCCCTCTCCAGACCTCCCCGCTCCTCTGCCCGGCGACCCAAAGGCCACGAGCGCGCTCGCGGCGGCCCCGGCAGCCGGAGGAAGGAGAGGTCTGTCAGGCAAGGAGAGGGAGAATCGTCGTGTGAATACATATAAGTCTCGGTGTGTGTTTTGGTAGAAGTTGTATGAAGTTGTAAGAGACACAGATCGGGACTTGGTGTTAAGGATTGCATATTAGGTCTTCAGCGTTTGGGTTGACATATGCGAAGCATCGTCCTGCCAAGGCGTAGATGCCCAAGGCCGCAGCACATGCTTTGCCCATCAGATCAACCACATGCTATTCTGAATTGTCTATACTTCAACCCTTACTACAGACGAGAATGTTTCGTCTGTTCCTTTTGTGTCTTGTCTTTCTGCCGTGCTTTGTGCCGCTTTTTCTTGTTCCTCCCTTTGTTTGTTGTTCTTGTTGAATGGACTGAAGATGTTGATTTTTCCCGTCCTTTTGGGAGAATTCTTCGGGACGAGAATTGCAGTATGTTAGCAGGTGTCGAGCATTCCACACACTGAGCAGATTGCGTTGCTTTTTCTCAAATCAAAAGAAGCGTGATACTGAAGCCTCAAAATCCCAAAGACAATTTCTTGTTAGATCACAAGCCGAACATGGGCATGCTACTTGCAGAAAAGAGTGATCAAAAGACTGCAAGAAAGCGCTAGGCTAGAATTGATTGCAAACACACACACACATTTAAAAAGATTAAAAAGACCGGAAATGGAGTAGAGAACACCAAAAGAATCTAAAGCAACAAAACGTAAACCTTGTCAAGAAAAACACAACTCGTTTCACACCAGCTGGATGACAGGAGGTAGCATTTAGCTGCATCGCCACACACCTAAGGTCCTAGCCGCTCTCAGGGCTGCGACGGAAGTAGGCAGGCTTGTCCGGTGTAGGGCCATCGATCGTTTTGCCAAGGTAGCCGACACCTTCCACGTCAGCAGAGGGCTGCTTGGAATCCCATTCCAGGAAGGCAATCCACACAACGATGATTGGCACGAAGATGACGATGGCATCCACTTTGCTGAAGCTGTCCGAAGCCTGGTCAGTGGCCAAAGCAGGGGCAGCAGGCAGTGCTGCAAGGACTGCGCCTGCCACAGCAGCTTCCTGACCACGCAAAGCTGGCTTGTTTGGGCCTGCCAAGAACGCTTGGTTCAACGCAAGCAGTCCGAAAGCAAGCAGGGCCACGGACAGCAGAACTGGTGCTCTTCGAGCCATGGTCGTGGCAAGGGGCTTCCGACTGAAAAAGGAACCCTTGATCTTGAACAAAAAAACCTGCAGTCAAGCGCACTTGAGAATCACCATTGATGTAGAGGCACATGAAAGCCGTATTAAGCAGCTGCCAACATGCATTCAAAATGAGGTGCGAAAGAAATAGCCAAAGATTTGCTTGGAAGAATGCAAG